GACGGGCGTGTGCTCCCAGGACGGGCGTGTGCTCCCAGAATAGGCGTGTGCTCCGAGGATGGGCATGTGCTCCCAGGACGGGCGTGTGCTCCCAGGACGGGCGTGTGCTCCCAGAATAGGCGTGTGCTCCCAGGACGGGCATGTGCTCCCAGCCAGAATAGGCGTGTGCTCCCAGGACGGGCGTGTGCTCCCAGAATAGGCGTGTGCTCCCAGAATAGGCGTGTGCTCCCAGAATAGGCATGTGCTCCCAGGACGGGCGTGTGCTCCCAGGACAGGCGTGTGCTCCCAGAATAGGCGTGTGCTCCCAGGACAGGCGTGTGCTCCCAGAACAGGCATGTGCTCCCAGGACGGGCGTGTGCTCCCAGAATAGGCATGTGCTCCGAGGATGGGCATGTGCTCCCAGGACAGGCGTGTGCTCCCAGAATGGGCATGTGCTCCCAGGACGGGCATGTGCTCCCAGAATAGGCATGTGCTCCCAGCCTCAGGAGGCCGCGCCCGGTTGGGTTGCAGGACACAGGTAGTCCAGGTTCCCCTGGGCGGGCGGCTCCTTTGCAGCCTCCTCTCGGCTCAGCGGGCCCTTCAGCCAGACTCTGCTGTGGTGTCTGGCGGAAGGAGGGACGGGAGCTGCCAGGAGCCGTTCTCATCTCTGGTCAGCTCTGCCAGGGGCCGCGGGTCACGGCGTGTGCTGAACTGGAGGAGACCCGCGCTCCTGAGCGGGGGCCGGGACATGCTGGGCGTGGGGAGTGCTGGCCGGGCTAAGGCCGCCATGTGGGGTAAGGCGTGGTGGGGTTAGGAGAAAGCCGTGGCCCTCCGAGCTGATGGCCGTGCACGGGAGGTCGAGATGCGCTTGTGAGGGCAGAAGTGCCATCCCGGCCTGCAGGAGGCTGCGCCAGCAGCAATGTGACGTTCACGTCCCGCGTGGGCTCCGTCACTTGTGACCACGCTGTTTGTCTTTCGGTCCGGTTTACAAATTCCTTTTAAGATGAAGTTAAAATTGATTTGGGGAACCCATAGAAATCTCCAAGAAAACAGCTTAAAGAACAGCTTAAAAAATTAACAGCTTGTGAATTAAAGCATTAGTAGCTTGACTAGATTAGATGAAAAGGAGAATTGTAAAATTTTTTTGAAAAGCAATAAATCCTCTCCCCCACCCCCACCCCCGCCCTACCTCTGCCATGCGGCTGCTCCCAGCGAGAGCCCCCAACCTTCCGAGCGCTGCTCCTTCCCCACTCTCACCCGGAGTCCGTCCCCCGCGTGCTCCGCTGCGCGTGTCAGGCGGCATCCCCACCAAGAGCCTTTTGGCGATTTTATATTCCCTAAAACCCCCAGGTGGCAGAGCACCGGGTCAGCACTGAGCACCTGGGCTGGGGTCTGCCGGGTGCCCGCACTGTGGCGGGAATCTCGGCAGGTCCGACTCAGTCTCTGCCTCTGAAGACGCAGGTTCGGTGGCCTTTGCACCAGGACCACGCTAGCATCGTTTCTGTTGGTGCTTTGGACTGAACATCAGTTTGTGTTCCTCAGAAGATGCCCTGTGATTCCAGATTCAGAACAATCCGGGGGAAGTTTGAATAAAGAACGTCACCCTCAGCTGGCTGTGGTGATGCGCAGAGCCCGCCCACCTTCCTGCCGTGTCCCCGAGGAGGTGCCGTCCCAGCAGCCCAGTCCTGGCTGGCCACCTGCAGCTACCGCTGCTTCCCTCGCGACCGGGCTGCCGTCTGTGTGGCCGCGTCTACCCTGCTCCCGCTGCCACCCCGCCCCCAAGCCCGCAGGGATGTTGCCGTGGAGCTGGCCTCCGAGTGCCCCTCAGCCCCGGTCCCCATGACCTTCCAGGTGCGCAGGTGGCCCCTTCCGGCTCAGTGGGATGCAGCCCTGTGGACCCTTCCCCAGGGCCTGCCTGCATCAGCCCCGCTGGCCCGTGGGCTGCGCTGGGGGTGTCCCAGCCAGGCCTGCTGCCTCGGTAAATGGACGCACCGGTAGAAGCGTTAGGCCCGTCATAGTCTGGAAGTTGTCAGAAAGGATGCCTTAGAAGGTACATTTTGTTCAGTTTTTAAAGAGATTAACCACTGGACATTTCCGATGGTGCCTCCTGCCCTCTCTGCGAAGAACTGGAAACGGGAGGTGATGGGCCCAGGTGAGCAGTGGCGGCTGTCTCGCGCCCAGCACCTCCGGCACAGCTTGTTTCTGCGTGGGCTCTCAGGTCACATGGCACATCCTGCCAGCAGGGGTCTCCCCTGGATGAATTGGTACCTGGGAAGTACAACAGCTCACGGTGTAAGGCAGGACACCTACGTCGTTAACCGGGCTTTGCTCAGGCGGACAAGAGAGCCTGCGACAGAGACGTCACAGGCCAGTCTTAGCCGTGAACGCAGACACCAGCGTTCTCCGTAAATCAGTGAGCATACGTGTGTGTTAACTTAGAAACACAAAGTTAAGTTTTTCCTTAGAAAGCAAAAAGGCAGGCTCACCGCGGGTGTCTGATAAGTAACTAAGCACATGGGCAGGTTAAAGGGGAATAGCTTTCCGATCCTGTCAACGGGTGCAGAAGCGGGAATGGTAACCCTGGCCGGCACTCAGGCACCGTTTCTCTTTAAGAAGGTGTTTCGCACGGTCACACTCGGAAAGCAGGACTGTAACCCCACAGCCCTGAGAAGGCGGCACAGGGCTCGAGGCTCCTGCCCCCGTCTGAGTTAGCGGGTGCAGCCGTCCTCCCTGCCTGTGTGTTACTCCTTAGCAGTCGCAGCAATGTGGGCAAACGTCAGTGTTTTATAAAACCAGCGTTTGCCTACACAATTTTTCCATTTTGCTGTGGGTGTTTTACCATAAAAATAATCAAAAAGGAAAGAGGAAATGGATAAGACCCAGCCTTCCCCTACATGTGGGGGGGCGGGATGGACCACCCGCAGTTTACGTCTATAGAGTCTTCTCACATGATATCAAATGAAAAGCTTTTGATATGTCAAGCCCGACACCCAATTAAAAAAACATAATTTAAAAAGCTGGGGTTGCGCTTCACCGATCTGGGAGAAGAAGCGGAAGAGAAGCTGTCGACTGGTATCCGGTGCTCGACTATTGAGTATTTCCCAGTCGTGTCTCGGGTGGTTTTATCTTTCACGGTCCAGGAAAGTGTCCTGAGCTGCTCACTGTGGCCCAGCCCAGGCAGGCCTCAGGTTCAGCCACGCCAGGCTCTGGCCTCTGTCCGCCCAGCCCGAGAGGGTGACTCCGTGGGACCAGGGGTTGGCTGCGGGCACTGATGGCGGGGAAGACGGTAATTTCAGCAGCGGAACCCCAGGGTGCCCTCCATCCTGCGCACCATCTGGACTGTGCCATGCCCTGCAGGCAAGGTGACCACCTTTTAGTCAAGGACACCAAGGCTGAGAGAGTTCAGGTGACCGACCCCAGTGCCCAGTGGCTGAGCAGTAGCCCGGGGAACAGAACCCAGAGCTTCCGCCAGAGCCGGTGGCCTCCAGGCAGCATTGCCCACCGCTGCCTTGTCAGAAGAAGGCCAAGTCCCGGGACCAGGGCCTCCCCCTGCCGTGGGGAATGCTTTGTGCCGAGAGGCAGTTGCCACTTACGGGCCATGGGCCTATCCGGGATTGGTGGGCTCTGAGACTGTGGGGTGCAGTTTTTCCTAGGAACTGGGTTATGGCTGGGACCTGGTCTTAGGCCATCCAGCTTCTGGGAAGGAAAGGTCCCTGGGAGGGGTCACATCTTGGGGCACTCAGGTGGGCCACTCAGGGAGGCACCAGGACAAAGTCAAGCACATACAGTGCTAGGCCTGGGAGTGAGGACCTGGGCTTCTCAGTGGCCCTCATTTGTTGGTCCAGGCTCTCCGCTGAGCCTGAGTCCCTGCTGGAGGGGAAGCCCACCTCCTTCCCCAGGCCCCGCCTCCTTCCCCGGGCCCCACCCCCTTCCCTGGCCCCGCCCCTTCCTGGACCCCACCCATGAACGATAGGTGGTGAAGAAATGAAGTGGGGCCTGCAGAGCTTGGGGAGGAGGCTGCCGGGGGACCTCCCAGAGGGAGCCTGTGGGAGGCCAGCAGCTCCTGGGCTCACCTGGACACCTCGTGATGGTGTCAGCAGAGCCTCCTGTTTGACAGGTGCCACTGGAGCGGCACTGGGCGGTGCTCGGAGCGACTGTGGCTCGGAGTGAGTGCCTGCGCACACACGCGCTCCTCACAGCGTAAACCTATCGTAAAAAGAGCGCACACATCAGATTGGTCGTGGTATTTGTAATCTAAAACTTACCTTTCTTTCTGCATTACTTTTCTCGCTTTAATTCGGTATTGACTTGTGGGGATTAAGATTGATCTAGCTCTGTTTCTAATCAAAATCACTTGTAGAATGTTTTCGGTAGTCCACGAGTACAACGTAGAAACTCATTTCTGTGTGGAGTGCAGACGAGCACGCCCCGATGCACGCACTTGTGCTGAGAGCAGAGCACGTCTCATTGGCTGTGGCCACGTAAGCACGTTTGCCAGGGGGCACTCTCCTCGCCATGGAAACTGGCTCCCGGTCCCAGCCCCTGTCTGGACCCCTCTGGGGCACACACTGTTCTTGCGGTTCACACACGCAGCTCTCCGTGGCCTCGGTGAAGGAGAGAGGGGAGCAGGCGGGCTGGCTGGCCTCGCAGAGACTGGCGCTTAGCGCTTTTCCTTGGCAAGCTGGAGCTGCCTTCTTTATTTTTCCCTTTATTGACATTGAGTAATGACGTCAGAAGGCCTTTGGGCCTGTCGCAGGTCCTTTGAGAGGGCAAGCCTCCCCTTCGGGAGGGTGGGCAGGAGGGAAGAGGGTTTGTGGAGTGTGTCCTGGTCTGACCTTCCATTGGTTTTTGTGATTTTTCCCGCTTCAGGAACGGAGCCCTCCGGAGCCTCTGAGTCTTGAGTTTTGAGCCTGTTGGGTGAGGGGGGGACATGTCCAGACGTCAAACGTCCTCCAGCCCACGGGCTCGCGGGTCGGTGCGGGCGGCAGTGACCGGCTCTCCTGTGCTTGCTCTCCCTGCAGTGGATGTGGCCACGGCGCTGCCCCTGCAAGTGGCCCCCTCGGCAGTGCCCATGGACCTGCGCCTGGACCACCCGTTCTCGCTGCCCGTGGCGGAGCCCGCCCTCCGGGAGCAGCAGCTGCAGCAGGAGCTCCTGGCGCTCAAGCAGAAGCAGCAGATCCAGAGGCAGCTCCTCATCGCCGAGTTCCAGCGGCAACACGAACAGCTCTCGCGGCAGCACGAAGCCCAGCTGCACGAGCACATCAAGGTGAGACTGGGCGTCGCGGGCACAGAGGGCCTCGGGCACCGCCGCGGCCTTGGCAGCACCCTCCCGCTGCTCCTGAGGGTCGTTCCCGGTCCCCAGATGTGACACTGGGGTTCATGCACAAGGGAATCCTCACTGTGATGCTGACGCCAAATGATGGGCACCTGCGCACTCAGCAGCAGGGCACAGCTGGAGCGAGTGGTGGAGGGTGCGGCATGGGCCGCACTGGTGCGGCGTGGGGTAGGGAGCTACATCGTGAACTCGTGGAGTAGAAGCACATTTATAGCAGGTTTTGTCACCTAATTTCATTTAAAGAAATGTCCATAAATAGAAAAATCACCAGTGGGAAGAGGAGCCAGAGCGTTAATGATCGTCTCTGGGTGGTGTGTTTATAAATCGTTTCTATTTTCTTCTTGAGGCTTTTCTATCTTTTCTCAGTTTTTCCCATTAACCTTTTATAATTGAAAAAAGACATTTTGTTTTAATTTAAATTGAATAGGTAAAAACTAATGAAGACCTTTTTTTGGCGCTTACTCTCCACAGATATTTAATCTGATACCGGATTTTAAGATGAAGTAAACTGGCCATCAGTGACACGGAGCTCAGTTGTGTTGTGTAGTTGGCAGGCCAGTTACGGTGTGTGATCATGTGTTCTCACTGCAGTTAGAACCGTATAGAGCGACACTGTCCAATAGAGTACACAGGGGTGTATTAAAATTACACAGGTAATTTTTAAAGTTTTAGGAGCCACATCAAACACAGCATAAACCGCCATGAAAATCAGGTTGCATAAGTTACCTATTGCTGTGTAACAAAATTGTCCCAGCGTCAGGACCGGGGAGCAGCCTGGCTCTCGGCTCCGGCTCGGGTCTCTCGCCGGGTTGCAGGCGAGATGGCTGTCGGGACGGGGGGGTCGTCTGAAGGGGTGACTGGCCCAGGCGGGGATCTACTTCCAAGCTCACTCTCTGGGTCGTCACAGGGCTGCTCGCAGCTCAGCAGCCGGCGCCCAGAGTAAGTGGCCAAGAGACCAAGGCCAAGACGGAAGCCACGGAGTCCTTTGCACCCAGCCTTGGACTTGGGACCCCCGTATCATGCTGCCCTGTTCTGTCTGTCACAGAGACCGAGCCTGGTATGTCCTGGGAGGGACCTAGACAGGGTTGAAAACCTGGAAACGGGGATTTCTGGGGGCCTTGGGCGCCTGGCTGACGAAAGGTAAAAGTGATTTTATTATGTTTCATGTAACTGCATATTTCCAAAACATCACTTCAACATGTACACAGCATGAAAAGTTCCTCATGAGCTATTTCGCATTCCGTGGTTCACCTGAGTCTCAGCAGACCACAGGGATTAGACGCGGAGGACACGTGTTGGTCCAGACGGGCTGTGTTTTGAGTCCTATGGGGTTTCGGGCTGCTACATTGGACAGCGCAGACCAGAGGGTTAAAAGGCCGCGACATTGCGTTGCCTGATGCTTCAAAGACGCTCTGTGGCCAGAGTTCATGCAGCCCACGTGTGGAAGCTGATCAGCCACAGCCGTGGCTTCCCAGGGCAGGAGCCACACCCAGGTGTCACGGTGCCCACCTGGCGCTATGCAGAATGGCCGGTGCAGCCTTCTCTGCTTCTGCCCGGCCAGCAATCCCGCTGCCCTCCCTGTGTGCAAAAGACGCCTCGTCCGATGTCATGACTTAGTGATCACGTGGAGAAGCGGCGCTGGAGTGGCATCGGTGCTGCTGTGGGAGCGGTGGCTGGTTGCAGGGGAGGCTGCCGGGGCTTGCTCACTGCCCAGCTGGCCGCGTCACAGAGCCTGCTGGGCCCTCGGGGACAGGCCCAGCGTTAGCTCCACGGGGTCCCCATCGCGGGTGCTAAGCCATTGTGTGAGTTCGTGTGCTTCAAAGTTTAGCCAAGAGCTTTGTCCTCAGCTTCCTCCGGCCTCCTGAGACTGGGCGCCTGGGGAGCCGCTGGGGGCTCCAGGTCTGGAATTTGGCTGGTTGCTGTTTTTTGTTGCTGGGGGTTAGGGGGTTGCTGCTTCTTGCCTTACTCACTCGCCTTCTGACGTCCAGGTTGCCGAGGAGGGAGAGGACACTTTCCTGAGCTGTGTGAAGTCCGGGCTCTACTGGCTTTGCCTTCAGAATTCTCGGCAACCTGGGGGTCGTGTGCAGCAAAGACGCCACGTGTCCCCATAGAGATTGGCCCACCAGCAGCCACGGTGACCCTGTCCTTTTTAACACGGGCACTTGGGCTTGGGCTGAGCCTGCTGAGGGCTCCCCAAGTGCCACGGCCCTTGCTCTCCTGACACTCCTCCTGGCTGGTGGGACGAGAGGAGGGACACGGTGGGGTGGTCCCTGGGGTGTGGGCCTGCCAGGGGTGGGGGCCCCTGCTGTGGATGGGCCAGGCCCTGACCGTGCGTGGCCGCCTCTAGGGCTGGTGTCAGGCCTGGGAGGGAGCGTCTCAGCCTGGCCACAGGAAATGGTGCCCGCCTAGCGAGGCGCGGGTCAGGGAGTGCCCCAGGGGATGCTGCAGGCCTGGTGGCCCCGTCTCCACGGCAGCCTCTGGCCTGTTCCTTGGCGGCCCTCGCCGAGCCCGCTGAGCACAGCCCTTTTCCCCGTCCTCTGAAGCGGCCTTCGCACCTGGCCACCAGCGGCCCGGGCACTGCTCCACGTCTCTGGCACCCGTCGGTCACCAGTCCTGGCGGGCCTGGGGCTGTGAGGGCCCGTCACTCCCTGCAGACCCGCCAGGGAGCCTGGCAGAGGACATTTTTCTGTATTTCACCGCCCGTTTGAACACTCCTGTCCTCGGCTGCTGCTGCTGCAACCGGGGGTGTTCCGATGGGTGACCGGACTAACCTAAACCTGCAGGGGGACACCGGACAGGGCGCAGTTGAAGAAGACCGTAACTGTTCGTGCTCTCTTCGTGTTGGTTGAATTTATAGCTTTTACAGGAAAGAAATAGATGAGAAACTGAGAAATAAACCCTGCATAGGTGGGGGGGGTCGCCAGGGGTAGGAAACACGGAAAGACACTTGAGTCGGTTCCCAGTGGCCCCTGCTGTGTCCCACCCCTCGTCCCCCCTCCCTGGTGCCTCGGGGAGTTGCTTCCCTGCGAGGACCTGGGACGGAGCCCTTGCCTCACCTCCTGCAGGCCCGGCCGGCCACGCCTCTCACGCTGGGTCCCCGGAGAGCTCCCCCATCCCCCCCGGCCCAGGGCTGGACCCTCCGAGAGGGGACTGGAGCCCCCAGATCCGTGGCTGTGGAGCCGTCTCTGGGCCAGGGCCTCCAGCACAGAAAGACGCTGGAGGTTACATTTGTCTTCACATTTTAATCATTTTATTTTTCCATTACAGTGGAGATCATAAAAGCCATTTGAACTCTGCAATTGTGTCGTTATGTTAGTCAGCTTTTGTTTAGATGATTTAAACTCTCTTCATAGCTGTCATATTGTTAGTGACATTTTGGCAGTGGTATTTGTCAGACAGATTTCTTGAACACAAAATCTAATTAGTGTCATTAAGTCATCAGTGAATTTGAATAGAGTTTTATAATTGAAAGGGAGTAGTCTTTAAATTGTAACTAAAGTGTTTAATTTTGAGTAAATAAGATCCCTTATAAGGGTTTCCTGCTCAGCACATCTGTAATTTCCGTTTCCTGGCTGTTCACGGCCCATTTCGACGCCACATTCCCTTCCTCCTCCGTCCCCTCCTCCCAGGACTGGGTCCCAGGTGAGTGCGGGAGCTTCTCTCGCAGTTTCTGCCTGACGTCTGCCGGAAGGGCGTGGGGGGTGGACACAGACGACACAGTGCACAGAGAGGGTCTGAGGACCAGCCTCCTTGCTGTGGCCAGAGCACCCCTGGGCTGGTGAGCCCCAGAGCGGGGGCTGGTGTGGGAGGCCACAGGGCAGGACGGGGCCCACCACCCACCGTAGGCCACGCCCTCTGGGCAGGCACGTGTCACTGTCAGTGCTCTTGGCCCACGACCTGCCTGTCTTGGCTCTGATCAGCAGCGCTCTCTGGCCCCCCTTCTCCCTTCTCCTCGTTGATGGAATTGTCACCGTAGCGGTTGTTTTCTGCCGGTTTATAGTAGTTACTTGTGGGTATCTGATGTGACAATAGCTTCGTCACAGAGGCTGAAGCATGTGGATCTTCAGCCAGAGAATCCACTTACGGGACGTCTGTTTTAAGCAGATCCTGTGCCACCAGCCAGAGGACCCTCGTGGGTTCTTGGGGCCCCGGGCGAGAGCCTGGACTGCTGGGCAGGCGCTGTTGAGGCTGCAGCCCGTGGCCCTGGGGCCAGCTGGGGGAGCCGAGGCCTCCCAGAGCCCTGTGCACACTGCGGGGCGACAGCGTGTGTGAGCGGGGGTCTCCTTCCCCCCGGGCAGCCCACATCTGTCCAGCGGGACGCTCTGGGCAGATGTCCCCAGGGGTTCCTGCATCCAAGCCACGTTGTCACCGTCCTTAGGGCCGGTTTGCCCCACTTGCCCAACTGTTTCTCAGAACAAATCCCTTCATACGAAAGATGCTGAACGCGAGTTACACGTTTTGAAGCATCTGGCAAGTCGCCCTCCTGGAAGGCCTGTGTCCCCGCAGTGGCATGTTCATAGTGCTGCGTCTCCTCCCTGGCCCGCAGGAGGTTTCCAGTGGAGTGGATGAGAAAGAAAAACCACTGACACGTGGTTTTCATTCACACATCCTTCTCTACCAGCGAGGCTGAACTTCTCTCCCAGTGCGTGTCTGTCACTGGGACTCGTGCTGCCTCCGTGGGCAGCAGAGAGTTTTAAGAGCTACTTAGTCGGTAGCGTGGCTACGCTCCTTGCAGGGCCAGGGCTGAGATGGGAACGTTCATGGCGCTGGGGCCGGGGCCGTGGTGTTTGCTCTCTTTATCACCCTCCCAGGTTGCCCAGACCCGGCTTTCAGGACCCCCCAGGGCTCCCCCTAATCGCCGCTGCCCAGCCCCACAGGACCTTGTGGCCCGTCCTGTCCCCAGCCCTGCGTGCCCCTTAACTGTGCCGCGG